TTTTTTTTTGTTTTATTTATTTTAAATTTATTGCTTCAAGCCTTTTGTTCTTAGTGTTGCTATGAGCTGTGCATGACTCGAAGGCAATCAACAACAGCAATGGAAAATTATAGACAAGGATTTTTTTTTTAATTATTTTTGTGTGAGTGTACCGTCAAATCAGATCTGACTGGTACAGGAGGAGATTGTCCCTCCTTCCCCAGCACAGCATCTGGTGGATTTGAACCGTGCGCCTCTGGGATTGTAGTTGCCGCTCCTTACCACTAGGCCACCAGAGCTCCCTCAGACAAGGATTTTTGAGAGTCCATGGATGAGCTTCATGACCCAAATTTTATTTAGAATCTACTTCTCATGAGCTAAGTAGTATGTCTTTTATCACGTTAAAGGCTCCATTTCTCTCTCTCTCTGTCTCTTTCTCACACATACACACACACACACACAGAGTAATAAACATTTTTAAAATCACTAATATAAATACAGAGCTATCTATACTGAGGTACAAGGTGTTCTGCTAACCAAAGGTCGATGATTGGAACCCACAAGCATGGTCCGTGGGAGAAAAGACAGTCGGGTAAATTCAAATGAATGTCAGTGGATTTTATTTGGGGTTATATTAAGGTAAAAGGAATCAAGATACTCCAGTGATTTTGAGAAGCTCTGACGGCAGAGTCTATAGTAAGTCGTACTGGTAAGCTAAAGGTTCCAAGTCCACCCGCCACGCTGGAGAAAGATGGGCGATTTATGATTTATGTTATGACTTATTGCCTCCTTGTGATTCAGAAATCTGATAGGATTCACTATGAGTTGAAATCAATTCAGTAACTGATTTTGGGAAAAGTTTGAAATAATAATTAAATAATAATCTGATATACTATTATACATACTCTTTCCATATTCTCTTAGAAGTAAAATGCTTATTTATTAATAAGGTTCTAATGTAAGTTAAAATTCAATCATATTTAGCTATTTTAAAATGAAGCAAAAAGGAGGGTTTCTAGGAAATTTTGTGGAAACTATTTTCTTCAAAATCTGTGTATTTTAGTTTCCATTATTTTTTGAAATATTTTTAAGATCTTTTAATGTAATGTCAAATTAAGGAAATATACTTCATGTTTTCCTAAATATGAAACTTTTTTTCCAGAATCATCAATTCATTTTCCCCCCAGAATCATCAATTCATTAATTAAACATGGTAAGTTGCCATTTTAAAATCTTGATTTTGAAATTAGAAATTATCTGGATTATGCTAGTAAGAGCATGACATGGGCTGGGAAACACATTTTAAATTTCCAGAGCATTTACTTTTATTTTTTCAGGGCATTTAATTTTTAAGTAATAGTTTACAAATTCTATTGGGTCAAAGCTATTTCCTTGACCTTTTTTTCCTAAGTCGGCCTTACCTCTACAATATCTCACTTAAAAGTTTACAACGTTGTTAAATATTGTACTATAAAATCAATGTTGTTTTCTGAATACCATATTATAAAGAGTGGCTCTCACCAGAAGCTGATTTTGCCCTCCAGGTGACATATCTAAAACACTTTCATAGTCTATAGGAAAATAAAGTTTAATGGACAATCTGCTAACTTGTTCTAACAGATGTGTGTCGAGCAAGACAGACTGGGCCAAGCATTTGAAGATGCTTTTGACATACTGAGGCAACATTCAGCTGGCAGCCTTCAGTACTCCCCAGGTAAAGAGAAACCATTCCTCTCCTCTCACTGGCTTGTTGATGGCATGCTAATAAGTTGGCCACCTACACTATTTAGGATTATTTCTACATAGGGCAAAAATCCCAGGTTACCTAATCCAAGTAAATGTAAAATCTCAATATAAAAAATGCAGAGTGTAGCCAATGACATGTCACATAAATATAAACACAATTATCTGTAGTTCCTACTATCTGGCTGGCATTTGTCTATTAGGCATGTTAATGTCACCTTTTCCAAAAAACTTTACAGTTGTCCTAATTTTTTCTTAATAAATAAGAGACCAGACCCCACTGTCTTACAGCCTATAGAGATACCGTGTATAGAGACGTTACCAATGTTTTGCCTATTCAGTTTATCCGGGGTATGTGGAGGATAAGTCCCTGGGTGTGTTATGCGAGTGGTTTGGGATTGTATGACTGGCAATGGGAACTTTCCCAGCAGTACCTCAGAAGGAAGGCCTGGCAACACGCACTCGGAAAGATCGCAGCCAAAAAAGACCCAATGGCGCAGTTCTACTCTGTTGCATATGAGCCAGAAGAGCTGGATAGCAAAAGGGTTCTTCGTTTGTTGTTTGCTTTAACTAAGGGGTCTCAGCCTGCAAAGAGCATGCATTGTAGAGTGAGAGAAATGTAAAATGTAAATAAGTATGTGTAATATCAGCAGACTGTGGTCCACACATGTGAGAAAGTATGGGGGGGGGGGTTAAGGGAATAGAGGAGGGAGAGGGAGCATTTATTCTAGAAAGCTGTTTTACATATAAACAGAATGTTGAGCATGTTCCACGTCCTTTTTATTAGATTATAAAAATTGCCTGTCTGTCATGAATCATTACCCTCACGTCAGAGCAAACTCCAGCTGCTATGGCATGCTGCCCACAGAGGAACCCGTCTATAACTGGAGAACCTTAATGGTGAGCACATGTGGTGAGTGGCCACCTCGAGTATCAAAACAGCAAACGTACCACTGGTGCCAGCCTCCCCTTTGCAATGTGTGAGCTGAAGGGTAGCACTGAGAACCACCGTCAGTAGGGATGCAGACTTGACAGTCCAAGTAGATGAGTGTTAGCAATGGTGTCAAGGAGGAAGCTGTCCTTCATCACTGGGCCCCAGCCAGCCTCAGACTGTCTTGAATCACATGCAGAGGGAGGTGGCATGGTTGGGAGTCTATGATTACTGCTCTCCCTTAGTTCAGCCTGAAGCACCAAGGGATCAACTGTTGACTGACTTACGGTATTTCTCCATGTGCTAGTATAGAACTGCTAAGATTGTCAGTGCCTGGTTAAGGTTGTCAACAGCTGGCTTTTTTTTTCCTTTTTTTTGGTAGGTGACTCTACTCCACGGCCCTCAGGCCTTCCTTTAATTCTTTTTGGTGAAACCTTTTTTTTCCCTTTTTTTAAATTATTATTAAATTTTATTAAGTTTTAATGAACATTTACAGAGGTTTTGGGGTTTCATTCATTCATTGTTGCACTGTTTTCCCTACCCTCCTCCCCAGTTCGTTCTTCTTCCCCCCACCCCGAATGTCTGTTTTAATTGTCCAATTGCCATAGTGCTTGTCAAAGCCAGTTCTGATTAATCTCCTTTGTCGGTGTGTCCTTTGCCATTCCCTATCACTCCTCCCTGAGAGAGACTTCACCCTGATTCATAAGGAAAAGGGGACGGCGTATTCTCTTAGCTACTTCCTGCTGAAAAGGGACGCTGTGGGTTTCAGGGTGAAGATCTTCTCTCACTACTCTAAAGGGCAACAGCTGGCTTTTTTGGAGGGGGATTATCACTAGTCTTTTCAATTCAGAGGCAACTCTGGGTGAATATGAATTGTCACTATTTTGGTTATTGGTCAAGTGCATCACCCAAGGACTTGGATCCTTCTAGAGAATGATAAAAAGTCCCCTTAAAGGCTAGTGGGGGGTGGGGGAAGCTATTGGGCAAAGATCCAAACATAACTTTTACACTGACATTACATTTGATCCTCTTCTAAGTACAAGCCCTGGACTGCTCTGCTTAGATTTTAGTAGCCCTCTGTAAAGGGAAAGAAATGTCTCACCATCTCTCCATTCAATTTGTTCGTGTATATTATTTTAATGTATCCAGTGCTCCAAGTGGTCTTAGTGTGGTGCTGTACAAATAAAGTATTTCCTTCAACCATGCTATGTCAAATGTCCCTTGTCTGTGATATCTTGGACAGATTCTTTGACTTCCCAATAATGTTTGTTGTTAAATGGACGGTTTAAAACTTAAATCTGAAACTCCAAATCAATCCAGTCTCTTTGCCATCTCTGGCAGAGGGCTGGTATATTTAAAGGGACCTGAAGAGAGAAAGAGAGGGAGGGAGGGAGGGAAGGGAGAGGGAGATGGAGAGGGAGAATGTGTATGTGTGTGTTGGCGTGAGGGTAGCATTCTTACCTCTTACTGAAGGTGGGCCATCAACAACATAGATTGACACAGGGACTGTAACAGTGGGCTTCGGTATGGTAGAGATGATGAAGGTTCAGATCCATTGTTCATAGAGTATTTATGGATCGTAGTCGACTCAAAGGCACACTTACCAACAACATCCCTCATGGATGTGGTATCTCTGGGTTTGGAAGAGGAATGAAGGGTGAAGGGAAATGGACCAATGTCTCATTTCTTCAGTCTAAGCCTCACTCAAGTGGTAGCCTAGTCATAGCCCTAATTCCATCCTTAAGCCTGGCCCTAGCTCAAATGCAACCCTAGAGAGGGCAGAAAAAGAGGAGGTTCTCTGAAATTGCTCTCCCTTGCAGAGATAGCTGGCTACGCATGAGGCAGTACCTTTCAGTTTCACAATACAGTCTGGTTTAGCGCTCTTTTGCGTCCTGTTCTGGACTTGAGCCACCATAGGGGGCCATAGAGAAAAATATCCTTTAATATTCTGCTGTGGTATTTATACAGAACAGTGCTGCAGATTGCTGTTTAGAAGGGAATATTCATCCATCTCTGCAGAATCCTAATGAGAACCATCTAGTCCAAGCTGCTGTTCTCCAGCAAAAGGGAGGAAAAGGTAAGTTGATCTAATTAATACTCCATCACTCTTTAACGGCTTTAAGGACATTTGACATCTGAGTTTGGGACTGTTAGCTGACCACACCACTTTCAGCCACTTAGCTTCGGTAATACTATTGCTTCCCAGATACTTCAGAGAGCTGCCAAGTTCAGGGAGGGCTGGATTCAAGAGCATGGCATCTCTAGTTTAGGTTCAGAAGGAAAGCTTTTCTATAGTTTATTTTTACAATTTTTCCTAATAATGAAATATTTCACAAATTTAAACTAATTTAAGAAAATTATCTCCTCAAATGGCCTGGTTAAATCCTCTGTTATGGACACATGCTCTCATGCACTAGTGGAAGGAGTGTAAACTGGTACAGATGCCAACTTGGAAATATTTTCAATGTTGTTTTTTTTGCCTTGTAATCCAGTGGGCTCTGGATTACTTGTGTGAGATAGATGAGTCATTTGCAAGTAACTTTTTCTGTACCGCAGTTTTCTTATTGTTACCTACTGTCGAGTTAGAACCGACCCATAGCTGACCTTTCTTGTAGATGCCCAGGACAGATTGCCCATCCTTCTCCCACGGAGCTGCTGGTGACCTCAAACTGCTTATGACCTCAAACTGCGTGCCCTTTGGGATTACAGCACAGCTTCTTGCCACTAAGCTTTCTTATCAGAAAACAAATAGTTACACTGACATTAGAAGATAACTATAAAGATAAAATGAGAAAACCCATGACAAAGAATAAGTTTCTAGCCTGGCATTCTAGAACTTCTCAAAATACCAAAAAAGGGTGTATGTATACATATGTATGTGCACTTATTAGGATATTCATTGCAAAATGTGACCGTAAAACATTGAAACTCACCATATTTTCTGGTGAATAAGGTGTAAGATGTCCATGATACATCCCAACTCTACAGTGCAGTTTTAAAATAATACTTTGTACTGTAGAAGGATAGGTATTTAAAAATGTCAAAAAAAAAAATGTCTTATATGAAAGTGTTTGGGAAGATGATTTTGTTTCTATAAAACAACACATTGTAAGAAATTAAAAATTATTTTTCAAAGAGAAAGCAATAAATATTTAGAATCTAAAAAAGTAACAGAAAAAAAACACAACACATTGTATTCTGGAAAAAATTCTAAGCATGTAATAATATGAAACATGCTGTATTGCCGTACATTGGTAAAGGACTTGCCAAACAAACTGAAGTCACAGCCTTAAACTTGTCTCACATCCTGTGGTCAAGTCAATTATAAAGAACCATTGTTCTTTCAATTTTTTTTTTTTTTTGGTAAAATATACTTAACCAAAAAAAATTTTCTTTTGTAAAATATACTTATGTCTTTTTTAAAAAACAGAAGTATTAAACAAAGTGTAAGACCTTTTTAAATAAACCGGTATAAAAAACCCCCAACAGAAATATTAAATGCTCATAGTAAGAAATTAAAGCATAAAGTAAAAATCATTCTCATGTATCCTATATACGTCCAGAATTTTTTCTTATATTTGCATTTATAAATGTGTATATTTATCCTTTAAATCTGACACAAACAGGATCATATGGTTTTGCATATTGTTATTATCAAGTCAGAACCAACCGCACAGCTGACCCTCCTGCAGGTTTTTGGAGGCAGTACATTTCACAGTGGGAGGCTCTCCCATGGAGCTGGCTGGTGGATTCAAATTGAGGGCGTGTGGGTTGGCAGCACAACCCCTTGCCATTAAGCCACCAGGGCCCTTTTAAGAAGCAACACGCCAAATAAGTGAGAGCAATATTAAAAAAGATCGTCAATTGCTACTGAGACAATTCCAACTCAGGTGACAGTTCTGTCTACTCTAATAATGGCAGCGGGTAATGAGATGGGCTTTAACCACCGTGCATGTAAGGCAGAAGAGTTCTGCCAAAGGCTTTGACTTCAACTCATGATGTATGTTTCTGGTAAGTCCCTTACATTTCTCATGTCATAACCTCAAGATAATATAATCCAAAAGTCTTTCAAACCCTTTGAGGTTCTGGAATGAATGATGACTGTGGCAAGAGTGTTACTCCCCAGAGCCTGTTTAAAGCAGTAGCTTGGGAACCCACTCTCATTTTCTCAATGAGAAAGTGGAATTTTGGCTGAGTTTTTTAGCCACTGACAGATGTGATAGACCATCATGTTTACAAGCCAATTCTAAAGTCAACATAGGCTGTTATCTCTGTCCAGCTATCCCTCTGGCTAAACAAATCTAATCAACTAATTAAACAAAAATTCATTCACCAACACAAATCCTCTCTATTTCCTGTCTAGTTGTTTTGACATGTAAAGGGCAGTATTCCAAAAAAGACAAAAACTCTGATGTACCATTGAATTTCATGACAATGAAAAATATCATAGTCACCACTTTCATTGCTCACAAATTATGTGAAAATGGTCTGAATTCTGGCATATTCCACTCCAATTTTTTTTTCTATTTCCTTTTTCAAGTACTTAGTGGCATAGCTAGTGCTTTTTAAAAAGAGCCTTCGATTTGAATTCCATTAATATTTATTTATCTTTGCATACTGTTTTGTACTCTCACATCATTTGCCTTGACTCATGTGAGTATAGCTCCTTGCTTTTTGGAAATGGCTTCTACATTATTTTCTTTAAAACGACAATCTGCACTTCAGTTTGCTTAGTTTTGAAGGAAGCTTTTAATATCTGAACTCTTAAGTGTGGTTGTCAAGCACTAACTGAAGGAAAACCCCATGACAAATGGGAACCGAAGGTAAAAATGTCTCCGTTTTCCAGAGGGAGGTGGGGGAGACTAGCAACATCAAACCAACTGCTGTGGGGTTGATTCCAACTCACAGCAACCTGGTGTGCTTCATAAAGTAACTGCTCCAGGAGGTTTTCAGTGACTGACTTTTAACTAGATCACCAGGCATTCCAAAGGTGGCCTCCATGCCACCACCTTTCTGTTGGTTGGTATCCAAGAACATTCACTGTCTGCACCACACAGGGACTCCTTTCCAATAAAAATAGCACACGTTGGGGTATTTGGGCTTTTGGGGTTTTCAACATCATCTCCAAGAAGTAAAGGTCCAGCTGAAACATCATCTTTTACAGGTAGACTCTTGATTTTAAGTCATGGAAAATTATACCATGAACACATCATCTAGAGTGTGAACAGGATCGAAAGCTAGTCCCAGTGCAGCTTTAACTCCATAGTGCTCAAGGGAGCTCTGGTGGCCTAGTGGCAAGAAGCTGTGTTGCAATCCCAAAGGCACATGGTTCAAGGCCACCAACTGCTCCTAGGGAGAAGGATGGACAGTCTCTTCCCATGTGATTAACTGCCTCTGAAAACCCACTAGAGGGTCAGCTATGGGTCAGTTCTAACTCAACAAACTTGAGGGTGTTCTCTCTGGAGCCATGATGGAGAATGACACTGCTTTGCTCCCTTTTAGGCAGGAAGAAACTCCGACTGTTTGAATACCTTTATGAATCCCTGTGTAACCCCGAGATGGCATCTTGTATCCAGTGGATAGACAGGAGCAAAGGCATCTTTCAGTTTATATCCAAAAACAAAGAGCTACTCGCAGAACTCTGGGGGAAAAGAAAAGGCAATCGGAAGACCATGACCTACCAGAAAATGGCCAGGGCACTGAGGAATTATGGGAGAACTGGGGAAATCATGAAAATCCGGAGAAAGCTGACTTACCAGTTCAGCGAGGCCCTTCTCCAAAGATTCTCTTCGTCTTTTTTGAAAAAGGAGATCTTATACTCTCCTTACTTCCAAGGTAGTCATGACCATCACAGTCTAAACAACTGGAATGCAAGTTACAATCACACATTTGCCAATTACCATGAGATTGACTCATCCTGATTACTGATTTTGACCCTCAAGTTTAACAGATTCCTGGCATCAGAAACATCCACCAGCTTCAGAATTTTTCTTTTAAAGAAAATACTGAAGCGGGGTGGGGTGGGGAAATTAACTTGTTGCTGTCATCTAAAACAGCATTATAACCACTGATGGGAAATTCCGCCAGTTAACAACAATAAAATGACTACTTCCAATTTGGAAGCATAAACTCAAGGTCCTTTGCTATCCTTATTCTCTATGCAACTATTTTCTTCTATACTAACAACACTGATAGCTATCTGATTTACAGACTGATTTAAATACACATACATGCGAAAAATCACTCAGGCAAAAAAAGATTGCTCCAACATATATTTGGCCTTAATGGCAAAAAACTGGGTCTATTACGTATGTTTTCATGATTGAGGAGGCAATTTTCATGCTAATGGAGCTCAGATCTTTAAAACTGCCAATGAAATATACTCGTGTTGCCACTGTTGTAGAATGGGACTGTCCTTGGGGTTGGGGAGAGACTGAGTAAGATGGGTTCAATAATGTATACTGCACTGAAACAGAGGAGGGAGAGAACCGTTTAAAAGAGAGATGTAACTGGGTATTTCTGTCATCACAGGAGACTAGAGCGAGGGCTGCATGGTGGAGGGGACCTGGGGGAGGGTTTGTAAAACAATGAAAGAATCTTTTCTTTTACTTTTCCATAATTTTTGGACTCATGTACTTATAACTTGTTAGTCAAATTTGTGTCTTCTAGGTTGCAACACCCCCATGATACATCTTCAAGGATATGAACATGTACAGCCAAGCACAATCAATAAGAGTGCATCTAAATTCCAAAATCAATCTCCATAATAGTCTATGTGTTTCCTACTGCCAAAGGGGCCCTTTAGAGTAGTGAGAGAAGATCTTCACCCTGAAACTCACAGCGTCCTTTTTCAGCAGGAAGTAGCTAAGAGAATACGCCATCCCCTTTTCCTTATGACTCAGGGTGAAGTCTCTCTCAGGGAGGAGTGATAGGGAATGGCAAAGGACACACTGACAAAGGAGATTAATCAGAACTGGCTTTGACAAGCACTGTGGCATTTGGACAAGAACAAACTGGGAGGAGGGTAGAGAGAATAATGCAACAATGAATGAGTGGAAGCCCAAAATCTCTGTAAATGTTTATGAAAATTAATAAAATATAACTATAGAAAAAAAAAGAAATATACTCATGTTGAACAGCATGATGAATGTCATGAGAAGCACTGAACTGCGTGTGGGAAAATGTGAACTTGGTGAATTTTTGCTGTGTATTTTTCTACTATAATTAAAAAAGATAATATAATTACAGGAATTTAAAAAATAATAGACAAATTAAAAGAAATTAAAACTTTGATGTTCTGAGCTGTATTTTCTCTGCACTACCACTCAAAGTTTGTAGTTTTGCGAGACTAAAGAAATGACAAATAATCATTTTCTTCCTCTCTTTCCTCAGGATAGAGCTAGCTAACACTTCTGTTTACCACAAGGAGGTGATATTGCCCTGGTTTTTACCTAGTTCCGCCGTGGCAACAAAGTTTCTCCCATCAATGTTCTCGGAGTGGAATAACTTGAAATCCTCTCAGAACTTACTTAAGGCTGAGCCTTCAGAGGCTTTAAGGCACCCAAGATGGATTGATACAGTGACTATAACATTATGTTCCTGTTCAGAAACATCTAGCATGCTCCATGAGGATTGTACAGGTGGGTTGCTGTGAGTCAAAATTGACTAGAAGGCTCATAACCTAAATTACAGACTGCCCATCTTTTTCCCTCCAAGTTAATGGCAGTTCATGGATTCGAGCTGCCAGCTAGGTGTCACATTTAAGTTAGCATTGCAGCTCCCTATGGACTATTCCACAAGACCTCTTTGGCTGGAACCAGACAAAAAAAGCATTATGTATTCCAGTTCAGTGACATCATGTTACAACTAAACTTCACATCTGTGCTGATTTTTGCCTCTATTTCCAGTGGGAAATACTATTTTATACACAATCACTTACTTAAAAAGGAGGGTAGAAAGATGTGTTTTTAAAGGAAAGTATCCTTACCTTTGCATATGAACACATAAAAGAAGTGAATGTTGTTTCTAGGAGAATTCTTTTAGGTGCATGCTCATCTGCAGGTTACTGCAAGCTCAGAGCGTTTACTCTTCTGTGGCTGCAGGTCATGCTCCTCTTGCTGAAGCCACCTTGTATCTTCTAGTCTTCTGTTACCTTCCCTCACGAGTCATGTATCTATTCTGGGCTTGAACATCTTTTTCTGCCAGAATTGACACAGATGAACTCTACACAGGAGTGAAGCTGGCCCATGGAAAGGATGACAAGTGGGTCAACTGCTCAAGTCATTTGCTTAAGGAAAACAGTGATACACAATTACCAGATGCTGTTGTATGCAGGGCATTTTCCACAGTACTTTGCACTCAACTATTCCTCATTGCAATGCCCACACAGAAATAATACAATACTCTAAAAGGTCTATTAAAGGAAGTTAACAGGTTACAAAAAGTTATGAGGACTTTGGTTTTCTTCATGTTGAGATGTATTTCATATTGAAGGCTAGAGTCATTGAACTTCATAAGTGCTTAAAGGTAGGTAGTCTTCCTCCAACCCTGTACCCCTATTTTTCATATATCCAGTTATATATCCAGTTTCTTGAATTATGTGCTCAGCATAAGATTGAATAGGAATGGAGAAAGGACACAGCCCTGATGAATACCTTTAGTGATCTTAAACTATGCACCATCCCAACTGCTTCTTAGTCTATGTATATAGGTTTTTAATTTGCACACTTAAGTGTCTGGGATTCCCATTCTTCTCAATCCTATAGCCATAATTTATTATGAACCACACAGTTTAATGGTTTATTCATAGTCAATAAAACACAAGTAAATATCTTGTAGTCAGGATTCATCTGATACCAGCAAAATAACCTTATTCCACGACTTTTTCTGACTCCACCTTGAATTTTTGACAGTTCCCTGTTGATGTAGTCCTAATCCTTCAGCAAGATATTTTGCATGTGATATTAATGATTGTTGTTGTTAAGTGCCATCAAGTTGAGTACAACTCATAGTGATCCTATGAACAAAAGATCTGAAACCAATCCTGTCCTGCCCGGACACACAAGAGCCCATTGCAGCAGTCACCTTGTCAATGCACCTGGTTAAGGGTCTTCCTCTCCTCTGCTGACCCTCCATCATGTCCAAGGAATAGCACCTACTAGCAATATGTCCAAAGTATGTTAGGTGAAGTCTCATCTTTCTTGCCTTCAATGAACACTCTGGCTACACCCTCTCCAAGACGTATCTATTCTCTTTCTTGGTTGTCCATGGAATGAATGTTCAGTACTCTTGTCAACACCACAGCTCAAAGGCATCAATTCTTTTTCTGTCATCCTTATTCACTGTCCTTGTCTGAGCTAGTAATCTGAAAGACCATAGCCTGAATCAGACACATCTTAGTCCTTAAACTGACATCGCTACTCCTCAATTTGGAAGGGTCCTTAACTGCAGATTTTCCCACTGCAATGTACGTTAACTGTGGATCCAAGCAAGATGAAGCTGTTGAAAGTTTCAATCTCGCCATCCATCATGGCATGGCCTATTTGTCCAGTGGTAAGAATCTGTTTTCTTGATATTGAGATGTAAGCCATACTGAAGGCTGTATTCCTTGATCTTCTGCAACAAGTGCTTCAAATCCACCTCACTTTCAGCAAGCAAGGTTGTGTCATCTGCATAATGCAGGTTATTGATGAGTCTCCCTCCAATCCTGATGCCACATTCCTCTTCATAGAGTCCAGCTTCTCAGATAATTTGCTCAGCATATAGATTGAACAGGTATGGAGACAGAATACATCCCTGATGCACTCCCTTCCCAATTCCAAACCATGCAGCAGAGAAAGAAAAAACCGAAATGAATGTCAGAAGAGACTCTAAAGATTGCACTGGAACATCAGGAAGCCAAACCTAAAGAAAAATATGTCGAAGTAAAAGAGCTAAACAGACGGTTTCAAAGGGCAGCTCAGAAGGACAAAGCCAAGTATTATAATGGAATGTGCAGAGAGCTGGAATTGGAGAATAGAAAGGGAAGAACTTGCTCTGCATTTTTCAAGCTGAAAGAATGGAAAAACACCAGCCGGGGGAACGCATCCCGCCGCCAGCCGGTGGGAACGCACACCAAACAGGGGAACGCCGCCACCAGACCGGGGAACGCCACGAGAGGGACCCGGAAGAGACCCGGGAAGAGCAGCAGCCAGCCACCTGCCGCGGAACTCCAGAGGAGCGAAGACTGCCGGACACTGTGGG